GTTAGTATCTCCTTTCTTGTAAAGGGACAAAACTAGCGTCCTATCATATCATTGTGTAACATGATATTATTCAATATGGATTGAAAAAGTGGAGAAATATATGGTTACATTTGTTTCCTATGCGCGCCCATCATTTCGGGTTACTTCTGCTGATTGGCCAATTTCATCCAACAAATCTTTCTTCTGACTCATGACTACGTGGAGAATGTAACATAAACAATGACTCGACACCGACCTCCCTTGGACTCTACTGTAACAACGAATTATATATATCATTGCATTAATCAGTTACAGGCCACGCTCGTTTTTTACCTGTAACAGGTATAGTTAATTTTGTAGGTCCTATTCTACAGTTTTTGCACTGTCATGTAATTTACTTTCATCGAGGCTCTTATTAAACACTCTCGATTCTTTTACATAAGTGCAGTTATACATAACTAAATTCCTTTTAAGTGAGAGTATCTTCACTACGAAGCCAGTCCATTCACTTAAAATCTTAAGTAAATACGATAGTCTATGGTACATACCCCTTTTTATCAAATAATTAACATCCGCTTAAAAAATGACTTCATCTTATTGTAATATAAAACTTTTTTTATCTGCAAAAATTATCAGAAATGCTGGATTTTCTCATTAAATTAATTCATTTAATTGTGTAATAAAAACTAATAAATAGCCATTTGCTTTCTACATGGCCGTTAGCCTGGGGTGCCTATATAACTTTGTAGGAAAGAAGATGCGGAAGACCCGCAAAAAATTAAATCCTGGATCAGTTAGTGTATTTGAATTGTTTGAATTTTATTGCAAACAACATTTCTTTAATACAGTTGTTTTATGTTTGCTCAAATTATTTCTTTTAATGTTTTTTGTAACTTTTTTTTATTTTTTACAAATGGCGAGCGCCCCTGAAGATCGGCCGGCGGACAGTGGTCTAGTTACGCAATCTAGCGCAACAAAAGGTCAAAGCAGGCATTAAATTGAAATATTACGAAATTTTTACAAGACAACTCAGTATTATAAAGAGAGTAAAACACAGTTTAATTAACATTTCACATACTATATTTTTTTAAACTTTTATATTAAATTAATATTAATTAGGTCTTCTTATTGTATTAAAAAAGTAAAATTTTGTAGTAAAACTTTAAGTTTTTTTACACACCATTTCAAATATTTAAAAGTATCAACTTTATAAGTATACAGTAATAAAGTTATTTAATATGAAATAAATTTTACGTAAATATAATTTATATTTTTTTTCGCTTTCAAACTGTTAATTAGCTATTCAAAAGTTATACATAATTAGAAGCTATTGCATAGAACTGAATTGTACAGTTTTTAACCTTTTATATAGCAATGTTTAGTGATAAAATAGCAGATGGATCTACTTTACACCGTGCTACTTTAAGATGGCCGACCATAATATAAAAATCCATCCAAGTTCAATCTAAATATAAAAACATGCAAATCAACAGTTTAAATCTCAATATGTATCTTGCTAACCAATTTTCCTAATTGGTCCATAAGGTAATATAATTATAACTGGTCTCTATCTAATTTTGAAAAATAAATCCAAATGTCGATGAATTTCTTGCTTAAAATCTTCTGAAGCATGTTGAAACTGTATAAATTAATTAAAAACTTAAATAAACTCATTTTAGAATGTTTTGTATTCACCAGTATTGAATTTTTATCTATTGAATGATCAAAAGTGGTGCTTCTTATCATCAGTTTTTGGAATTGAAATATTTAAAATTTAATAATTTTTAAGAACCCGAAAAACCAGGTTCTAAAAGTATTAAATATTTAAACTCCAATCTTTGCTGAATCTATAATTATCTGAATATTGATGTGCCGAGTGGTTTCTCGTAAGTTATAACATTTTAAAATACACTGACAGGCAAAAACTTCCACCCACTTGATTTTTTCATGTTTTCATCTAAAAATATTTCTGCTTTGGATTGGTCTATTGTTTTTAATGAATAAATAGATAATATTTTTGTATGTTTTCAATTAGGAATGTTAATATATTGGACAATAACCCTTAATCCTTAATTCAATGAAATGATTCTAAATGCCAATGTTTACTTTCTATGGAATAAAAATGTTTATTCAGTATCATTAGTTCAGTGCCGTTTCTTGCAGCACATTTCTTATTCTCCGGCTTTTAATTTTTTCAATATTAAGTTTAAAAATACCTCTTAGTTCTGATGATGGTGCGCGTGGTGTGGCACTTATTGATGATGGACGTTCCATTAGATATGCAGCTAATGCCATTGGAGTTCCAAATGAAAATTTACGAGACGCCGTCAGGCGTTTTCGGGAAACTGGTTCTTACAATAGAAGGCCCGGTTTTAGACGGCCTAGGGTAACAGAACCACGGGATGACCGGTTTTTGACGCTCGGAGAAGATTAAATGAGTATGGATTAATGGCTTTTCGTTCAGTAAGAGGACCAGAGTAACACGGCTGGCTTTTGCTTGAGAACACAGCCGTTAGACTATGGACGAATGGAGTGCTGTACTTTTTCACAGATGAGTCAAGATTCGCTCTTTGATCTCCAGACGGGCGTGAAAGTGTGTGGAGAAGGAGAAACGAAAGATATGCAGCCTGTAATTTTTCCCAGAGCCAACCTTTCCAACGTGGTTCCTTAATGGTGTGGTCTGGGATTTCAATGGAGAGCCGCACAGAATTGGTTGTTGTTCATGGAGGGTCTTTGACGGCCATTCGCTATGTATATGAGATTTTGGAACCTCATTTGTTGCCTATCCTCAACGAAATCGGCGATCGTTCTATTCTAATGCACGATAATGGAGGTTTTAGCCTGGCCAGCACGTTCTCCAGATTTGAACCCCATTGAGCATTTATGGGATAACCTCGGAAGACCAATAAGAGCGCGTGCAACACTGATACACTGCAGGATCTTGAAAGGGCTCTTCGGGAGGAATGGGCTATCCTCCAGCAAAGGGACATTTCCCGACTGGTGGAAAGTATGTCGAGGCATCTTCAAGTAGTGAAGGCAAGAGGAGGAAACACGAGCTACTAAACGATGATGTAATTAATTTCTTTTAGAATAATAATGGTTCGTTTTTCAATTTTTTTTCTCTAATCTTTCTTACCCAATCACATTTTGATTATTAAAGGTAAAAAAGATTATGAAATTCCAGAAATACCATGTATTATATACAAATACAACTTTTTTTACATGTGGGTGGAATTTTTTGCCTGTAAATGTAATATATTTAGTTCTTTTACCTCTAACTTATAAGAGTATAATACTATGCATTTATATTTACTTAATAATACTTATTTTTCATCTAAAAATAGTGAAACTTCCATTCCATTTATATTAATATTATAAAAAAAATACCATTGGAAATAGTATCCATATTGGGAAAAATTAAATGAGGTAACAGAATAAGCACAATATTTACAAAGAGTAGGTGAGTGCTTGCTACGACTGGATAACTCATTCTTCTTCCTTTCTACCTTCAATGTTTCTAATCATATTTACTCATATTGTTTGTTTTGTTTTTTTTTACTAATTCTTCTTTTCTCAACTGCACCGATGTATAAACAAACATTTAATGCCATTTTTCTCAAAAATATTCTCCATCGATATTTTGACTTTTGTCCCGCTAGATTCGCTGATACTATGGGCCGCCCCCCCTTTAATTAGCCCTCAGGTCCCCACTCTTCATTTTCTTAAAAATAGTTCCGATAAATGAAAAATAAACAATTTGAACAACAAAAAATAAATATTCTGTAAAAACTTTCCTTGAAAAGTTTCAAGGGAAAAAGTTCAAGTTCACAAAGAACTAAATAACTATCGACAGTAAAAATTCCGGTGATACTAAAATTTTATAAAAATAATTTTTTTTTTCCGCTACAAGTCCTGGTTTCTGGACACCCCTGGATTCACAACGAAAGAAAAAGGGATAAAGGAAGCTGAAGTCCTTGGGTACAATGCCTATCGTGGAGGGCACATAGAAAATTTATTAAATTACATTTTATATTATCAATACCAGAAATTGTTAATATTATTCAATTTTATTAAAGGAGAATTTAATTTATTATACTCATTTCGAGTATTTTATTTTACATATATTTCATAAACAAAAAGTGCATTTTAGTAATTAATTCATTACAATAAATCCCAAGTCATAGAAAAAAATAATAATAAAAGTTTCGTAAGCACACAAACCCCTTAAAATAATTTTAATACAGATAAATTCCATTTCTTTATAAATAATATTCTGTATAGTTTACGTAGGTGTTTACGTGGCTTTCGCTTACTTTTTAACAGAAAAAAAGTGACATTTTTTATAAATATTTTTTGTAATCTTTTATATATAAATTATTATATCATTTATAATTAAAAACAAATGAACATTGGACATTTATATTGATAATTTACGGGAAATATTTAAAAAGGTGATAATAGACCTAAAGTAAACTAAAAAAAAAATTAGATAGTGTACAGACTATGATCCAGTTCCCAGCAGTAAAAAACAGAAAATTGAAGTTTTAGGTTTTTTTTTAAGTGCCACATTTTTTGTTGAATAGGAAGAATCTACTGAAAAAAATATTTAATTTAGACGATTATAAAAGTCAAATTAGTAAATTAAATTAACTCAAACAATTAAATCAAATTGAAGTAGAATTCGTCCTGGCTAAAACCATTTTAAGGTTCCTTTTAAACGGCAAATCTGCGCTGAATTCTGTTTTAAATAGAATCATGGATTATTCATGGTTTTTATTTATTTTTTATCAATAATAAGTTTCATGTCCATAATAAAGTTTGTTACAAAATAACCTGATATTGGCGTTCAGTTATGTAAAAATATTATTATATATGATGTGAAATTCTGCTCCCTTCAGTGTACCAGTGTTTTAAGTAAAAATAAATACACAAAATGATTAGAAACATTTTATTTTTTATTTTCTGCATGATTTTACACCAGAACTAATTTGTTATCATTGTCTATTATAATTATGTTGCAGACTCAAATTGTGTTTCAACACCATGCAATAAGCAACTCTGAAGAGTACTTTGATGATCCCAATGTGTATAAACCAGAAAGATGGTTAAAAAAACAAAAAAAAAAACAATATCACCCTTTTGCCACCCTACCTTTTGGTTATGGAAAACGAATGTGCTTAGGGAAAAGATTTGCTGATTTAGAACTTCAATGCCTCATTGCTAAGGTAATCTGATTTTTTATAATTATTAAAATAATAGTAATTTGATTATTACAAGATAAGTGTTGATTGGTCTACTATTTTATTAAATAAGTTAAATATATTTAAGGAACTGCTGCATCTTCTACCTAGAGCCATAGTTTCAATTAACGTTTCAACTAAGTATTTGCATTTAATGAACGACCTATCGACGCCTATTTTCTCTGCTCTCCAGAGTTTCTTGATCTTTTCCCAGATGGTCGCATTGCCTACGTACAAATGGTGAATTTTTCCCGACTCCGAAGCGTCGTGAAAGGCCTTACAAATCTCTTCTTCTTTCACCCCTGGTTGGGACCAAATGGTATTAATTTTCTTCTTCCCATATTTACTGAAGTAGATCTTCATAAGCCCCGACGTTCTGGTCTTCCAAATGACCTGTCGTCGCTTATCATTGATGATCTCCTCACATTCCTCCATGTCTGTAGGCCTTTCGTCCACCGAGCTCTTTTCTTCTCTCGATTCCTCTGTTCTCGCATCCCCGGGTTCTCCTTCACCTTCCGGTGTCCGCGCTCTCAAAAACTGCCGCACGTCTCGCGACGACTCCCCTTCTTCCTCCTCGATGGCATTTATCATTATGGCTCTGGACAGCCAGTCCGCTACCACATTTTCCTTACCCGGCTTGTACATGACCTCCATATTGTACTGGCTTAGAAATTGCTTCCACCGAGTGACCCTTGCTGACGATTCCTTCAGATCACCAACCCATTGCAGCGGTCTGTGATCGGTATGAACCTTAATTTTCTGCCAAAAATATACGGTCTAAAATGTCCTACTGCCCATACTATGCCCAAGAGTTCCCTCTCCAGGGCGCTATACCGCGTTTCCGCGTCTGTAAGCCGCCGACTTGCATATGCTACTGGCTGTTCCCCATTAGTTCCTTCTTGAGCAAGTACTGCCCCCAACGCATACTCACTCGCATCCGTAGTGATGATAAACGTCTTCGCAAAATCGGGAAAAGCGAGTACCGGCTTATCTTGTAACCTCGCCATACACTTCCTTACATTGTCCTCTATTGCTGGCGTTATTGTTATCTTCCGGCCTTTCTTCAGAAGGTTATTAAGAGGAGCTAAATACTCTGCCATTTCCGGCACGTACCGACGGTAATAGTTTAGTGTTCCCAATAACCTGCGGATCCCTTTTACATCCCTGAGCATCGCCATATTTTGTATTGCCTCGACCTTCTGTTTATCGGGCCTGATCCCCTCCTTCAAAATGGAATGTCCCAAAAATGTTATCTGGTCCTGTCCCAAAATCGACTTTTCCGCCTATAATTTCAACCCAAATTGCCTTAATCTGTCGAATACGCGCCCCAAATGATCGACGTGTTCCTCTTCAGCCTTGCTAAAAACCAAGAGATCGTCCATGTATACTTGACAGAATTCTTCGTCTAATCCTCTCAAGAATTCGTCCATAAACCTCTGGAAAGTTATGGGAGCGTTCTTTAAACCAAATGGCATCCGAGTAAACTCGTAATGCCCCCTCTCGAAAGAAAACGCCGTTTTGTGTTGGTCCCTGGGGTTCATACGAATTTGGTGGTAGCCCGCCTTTAGATCCAGAGTACTAAAAATGGTTGCCCCACTAAGCCTGTCAATAATATCATCGAATCGCGGAAGCGAGTACTTCTCGTCTAGGGTGTTGTCATTGAGCTTTCTGAAGTCTCCCACCACTCTATACTTCTGCTCTCCCGACGACGTCTTTTTCTTCACCGCCCACAGGGGACTATTGTATGGTGACGTGCTGTCCACGATGATGCCCTGCCTCTTCAAACTTTCTAGCTCCTCCTTGATATGGCGACGTAAAGCCTGTGGGCAACGTCGCTCCTTCACGTACGTCACCTTTTCCTGTTTTAACGGAATCTCATGTGCCGTCCTCCCCGTTGCGCTCAACACCTCCCCGTCTTTAAAAAAAATGTCCGCGTATTCCCTCTTTATCCTCTGTACCCAATGTTCCGCTTGTTCTATTGCCCCAATGTTCCCTTTTTCTACCACTCTCCCTTTCTTACACCGGTACCTCTTCCCTCCCATTCGCACCCTCCAACCCGTTCCCCTGTAATCTATTCTTGGTCTCACTCTACTCAATAGGTCACATCTTATTATACCCCCGTATTCCCTCGGCATATTTTCCACTACATGAACCCTCAACTTCCCGCTTCCTATCACCCATCTGTCTAAATCTAGTTCTACTTCCCCTTCTACCCTACATGGACCACCCAAAGTAATCAACTTACACCTACAATTTTTTATTCTCGGTATCCTCTCTCCTTTACACAACTCCGCCAACATCTGTCTAGATACTATTGTACTAGAACTTCCCGTGTCCACCAGACACTTTCCCTTCCCCACAGCATTTATAATTGGCAAACCAACGTACTCACCTCCAATATTATTTACTACCGCGTGGCTGCCTCTCCTCTGCTCCTCTCCTCATTCGTCTGATCTTCCTCTCCTGTACGCAACGGCTCCTCCTTCTCCACACTTCTCCACTGCTAATTCTGCCTCCTCGAGCTCCTCTTACCACCGTCTCCTCTTCCTCGGTTCCAGATGTTTCTGATGACTCGTCTGACTCCGATGCTGCTCCTCTCTTTCTCCACAATCTCTGTGCGTTCACTTCCATTGGTTCATCTCGGCCTACGGCTCGCCGTCTACTCATATACGGGCATTGTCTGGCCATGTGCCCCTCGGTTCCGCATTCGAAACATCGGGTTCGCGGGCAATTCGCCACTAGGTGGCCTATCTTTCCTCACCCGTGACATCTCCTGTCGTCCTTTGTCCATGTCCTTCTTTCCGTTCCTGGCTTTTTCTCCCTCATTGCCGTTCTTTCTCTTGCACTAACTTCTCCTCCTCTTTTCTTCCATCCTTCCTGTCTCGCTTTAAACCTTCCAGGTTCTGCTCTCCTGTACGATACTCAGTTCCACCCGTTCTCATTCTCCTCCTCTCCCCGGGCTGCTTCTTCCTCCCGCGCACTTGCATCAATCATCTCCTGGGCACACTCCACAAAACTCTTGTCTCTAGGTAGTCCATCCCTCTTTCCCGTGTCTCTACCCAGCAGGACTTTAAGGATGGTTGACAAGAACGCCATCTTTGCTCCTGTTTCCGCCGCATCAGCTACCTCCCTCGTCTTCTGAGTTACGTTATTAAATCGTGCCAACAGGTTTGCGGCATATTGTCCGTTGGTCTGATAAGGCTGTTTCCTCTCCCGAAACATCTGCAAGATGTCCTCTTCCGGAGCCCAGCGGCCTCCTCCAAATGCCTTCTTCAGGCTATCCTTCACGGTGTTCCATGGGGTGTCTTCATCCGCCTGAATCATATTCAACACGCTCCTCTTAACCCGGCATACCAACGCTGCCCTCAATGCGTTGGCATCCAGCGGATCTATTAAGTTCTCCCCTTCCTTAGCCAATATACGCGATATCACCCGATCGCCTCCCTTTAGAAAGTGGCTCAACTCACCTACTCCTCCATCGAATCTTTCCAAATCAGATATCGCTCTCCTCAGGTCCTGCGATGTCGCCGTTCTCACCTTCAGCCATTCCAACGTCGTCGCATGTGCTGATGCTAATATTTCAGTAGGTAGCGGAGGAAAAGATCCCTCGCTAATGCTTCTGACAACGGAGGAAACGCTGGCGGTGGAGCCAACGGTGCCGCCGGTGGCGCAGTCGGCTGTGCTACCTGTGGTGTAGGCGGTACTGGCGCTTGACCTACTCCGTTCGGCATCCTTTCTTTTAATTATTTCCAAGACGTGCAAAAAAAAGAGAAAAAAAAGCTAACTCCACAATTAAATTTAAACCTCCCGGGTTTTGGCACCACTTACGTCAGTTCGAACAAGAAAAGATAAAAAAAAAAGAAAGAAAAGGTCCGAAATAAAACACGTGATTGCTCAAATAAGACTGACTTTATTCTCTCCGTAATGCTATATATATAGCATTACGGTTTGTTTACAACTGTTGAATAGGATTAAATAATATATCAACTTACATCTAACCATAACTTATATATATATATATATATATATATATATATATATATATATATATATATGTAGTTCAGATCAAGTACATATTTAGGTTTATAAAAAGATTATTAATATCTTAATTGTGGATTGATGGTTGACTGTAGTGAATAATTGAAGAGAAGATTGGTTGTGGCGTTCAGTAATTATAATAATTTTATTTTATTATTTACTTTAGAGACCTTCTTAAACATCCTTAGAATAGAAGTAATAAAAAAAAAATTGTACAAATTTTTTGGACAATTAGGTAAATTATTGCATTAATAATTGTTTGTTAATACAATCAAAATTATTACCAACAACGTTATTATAGCACTATAACTAAGCCATTTATGACCACTGAATGGTGTGGTAGAGGCCAGTAGGCACCTACGCCAGTACCGCTCTTCTGCAGCTATATTTTAAGTGTATTTTCTACGGAACTGCTTCAAATATTTTAAAAATTAATCAGAGTGTTAACCATCCCAACCCTCTTGTCTCTAACCTTGCTTCCTATTCGATTCCTGATAACCCTCCGAGGCGTCTGAAAAGAAGATGGCCACGTGATCTTCTAATATAGACATATTATTAGAGTGCTACCAATGGGTAGTTTCTCAACATGTGTTCCATGCCTTTATACCAATGTGCAAATTTACTAGATGTATTTTTTTTGTATACAGTTGTAAATGTCATTTAAAATAAATAAAAAAATAATAAAAATCAGAGTGTTAGAAAGAGAAATATGTTCTCCAGATTTTTTATTTCAGCAGGTTTTGCGTTATTGTTCGCCGTTTAATTACAAACGACGCTTGATTGTCAACTTGAAAAATTGACTTTATTGGTGTTTTTTATTGCCTAAGCCAATTATTTTTTTAAGAAATTGCCAATTTCGATGAAGAATGTGCAAAAGAATAAAAGAATGCCGATAGGATTAATATGCTTCAGCGGGATGTATTTATTCTCTTTCGGGGTCTCTTTAA